GCTTAAAGTACCGTACGCAAGTGTGCTGTATTTAATTAATAGTTTGATCGATAAAAAGTTATCGATATAATTGCCGGTAGTCCGTCTTTTTTTAAAGTCTTTAAAAAGCTTATTTCCGAATTCGAAGTCTTTTAAAGGTCCGTTTTCGAATCTTTTTAATAGTTTAAAAAAGCCGTTCTTACTTTTTCCGTACTCGTAGCTTTAATCTCTTTACTAATCTCTTTCGTTCTTTCTTCGTCGATTATCGTTAAGATCGCTAAAGCTATTCGAGTTATCGGTTAAAGCTTTAGCTCGGTAATATTTGTACTTTTAAGCGCGCTTTTAACAATTTTTATATTTTTAATATCTTTTTTATCGATACGTAGCTTATTAAAAGATTTAAAAAGCTTATCGATACGTTCGAAAGTGCTAGATCTTTTTCTTGAGTTGTTAAAGTTAAGTACGGAAATCTATACGTTATCTTTAATAAGAGCTGATTTTATCCGAAATGCTTTTAAGTTTTAGCAAATCTTTTTTTAACGTATAGCTGCTATTGCTTTGCGTATTATTAAGCTCGATTATGTTTTCGAAGCTATTATTATTACTATTCGGTCTTAGTTTTTAAGAAACCCGATTATAGCTCTTGAAAAAAAGGTTTAAAAGCTGCTAAAGTGATTTTAGCTTTTCTTATATGATTAGCGTATTGCGTAGCGATTGATAGATTAAAAGCGTCGAGTACGCTAAAGTGCTTCGTTATAGCTTTTCGTTAAATTGTATAACGTAAGTTCGTAATTCCGTTATTTGCTTTGCTATAGCTTTTATATTTCGTTTTATATTTCTTTTTTTTTTAAAAAATTCTTTCCGCAACTTTTAGATTTTTTTTCTTTTTTTCTTTTTATTTAAAGTTTTTTTTTCTTTTTTTTTAAGCTTCGCGAAAGTAAAAGAAGTTAAAGTGTAATATCTTCGTCGTCCGTAAGGTTTTCGGCGGTCTACTTTAAATCGAAGTTTAAAAGTGTTGCTTATTGCTTTTTTATTTTTTCGTAAGTCTATTAGTATTATTACTCGTCGTTCAAGAGCTTAACCATCTTATTAGCGTAACTCTTTTGCTTTAAAAAGCATTATACGCTTTTAAATAGCAAATGTTTTTTAAAGCTAATAAAAGTAGTAAACTTAAAGCTTCGTCTTGTATTATCTTTCGTTATCGTAAAGCTCGTTTAATCTTAACGTAAGAAAGCGTGTTAGAATAAGCTTTATAAGTCGTAATCCTTTAGCTTTTTACACTTTGCATTTAAGAAGTCTTTTACTATTGCTCGAGCCGTAATCTTACTATCTAGTCTTACGTATAATAACTCGTTTAAGTTAAATAAAATGCTCGATATTTCGTCGTCTAGTCTTTTTAAAAAGCTTAAGAGTCTTAAGTATAATAGTCTTTTTAATTAAATAGTTAAAAGTTCCGTAAGTAATAAAAAGATTCGAAGAGTATAATACTTTATTGCTCTTTATCGGCTAGACTCTTTATTTAAAAGTTTAGTTGCTCGATCAGCTATAATTGTTGTTTATATATATGTAAGTCGATCTAAATTTAATTAAAGTGTTATATATAATAAATGCGTTTTTTATAGCGTTGAAGTTGTTGTTTTGAAAATGACTTAGTTCGAAATTACTTTTTTATAAAGATAAAAAAAATCGGTAATATAAAAAACGACTTAATACGAAATCGCTTTTCCGTTATAAAAAAAAAAAGTATCGTAATAAAAAGTATTTTCGCTATAAAGTATTCTTAGCTTCTTTATGATTAATCATTTAATAGTAAATCAACTATTGATTAATATTAAATTGCTTTTAAGCAATTAAGAATATATTCGTAACTTCGTAAGGTCGTTAAAGTACTTGCAATTATAAAACACTCGGTTGATAAAGTATTTAAATTCTGTCTGCTTCTTAAAGCTTAAAAGAGCTGATTCCTTTTATATGATTAAAAGGAATCACGTGTACTAGCTAGCTAATAGTTTTACTAATCAAGTTAAGGGTCCTTTAACTGCTGATATGTTAAGCGAAGCATGCTAAGTGGCCCGTGAACCATAGTTCACGAGTGAGTTCCCCAACTATTATTACTACTACTACTACTAGCTAAGGTCGATATAAAGATACCGACAGATAACATATCAATCATTTAATATCTTCGCGGAAATGCTTTTTTATTATCGCAATAAGCGTTTTTAAATATTTAAAAAGTAATAAAGACTCGAAACGTACGAATACGATGATTTTCGAAGCATATAAGTATTAAAAGAAACGAACGAGCGGACAAGCTTGCAAACTTAAAAGCAAAGAAACCGGATTAAGACATTAGTTTAATATCGCAACTTACGATTAACGGCATCCGCATACTCTTTTACGATATATAAGATAAAGCACGAAAAGCTTAATAAAGCGCAAGCTCTTTTAAGCTTTTACGCTTATATCGAAAATAAAGCTTTTTATACTTAATTAAGCCTTTCTCGAAGCTAAACCTCTTACGATATGTTTTATACCGATTACTTGCGATTAAAATCACGTACGAAGACTTTATTTAATATTATATTAAGTTTTAGCATTACGACGCTAACTTAAAGTATGCTTACAGCAAACGCAAATCCTTTTTGCATTTAGCTTTTTGCCGATTTACGCAACGACGCTTCTTTTCTTAGCCTTATAAGACTCGATCGCGGACTTTTTTAAGCACGATCTCGAAAGCTTACGACTTCTTTAAAGGTCTTCTTAATAATCCGGCCGATTTTCAAGCTTTCTTAATTACTACGGAGTTTTACTTTAAGCATTGCACTCGATAAAAGTGCTACTTTAGCTAACTGATACTGCTTCGATAAAAAAAACAGAGTACGCTCCGCTTTACTTAAGCTATAAAAGCTCGTCAGATCAACCGCGCTACGAGACTAAGACTTTAAGATAGCGTAATGCGCTCTCGAAAGAATACTTTTTAGCACGAGTGTATTATATTAAGTTTTCTTTTAAAGTTTAAGCTTTTATATTCACCTTTTCCTTTTTGTATTCGACTAACTCCGGTCCGGCCTTGATTTTTATCGCTACGCGACGTGAACAGCTCGCTTTTAGCTAGCTATAATAGTCTATACCTACTTGACTCTCTCTTTTATAGTTTTCCTTTAATAAAAGGTTTCTTTTCTATGTGATCCATTTTATTTATAAAAGAAGAGCGCATGCGATAATAGCCCTTGCTATAGCACTTTGAATTGCTTTCTAAAGCCTTTTTGTATGTAATTCTTTAGCTTAGCACGTCGCCGTACCTTATAAAAGGTCCTAGGGCGGCAAGCTTCGCCTGCTATCCGCTCGACGTAAATAAATACAACAATAACAACAACAACTTGATCGCATTTGCCAGCCAACCTCTTAATCGTTGATGAACTTGCCGTCAATACTACTCCAAGTTAGATTTCAAGAAAAGCAAATGCCAAGGTATCTATGACTCTATGCTACGAAATAGCCATGTCCACATCACGGGCGAGATGGAGTTTGATGTTCCGTCTGCTGAAGCCCCCTTGCGGTGGCAGGGAGCCCGGCGGTAGTATTACTTATTAGCAAGCAGCAAGCTTTTTGTCCTCGGTACGAAAGGGAAAATTAATGCGCTTCAAGTGTGCCTTGTCTCCGCATCTATGCTCCGCACCCAGGCTATTTTCAGCCTCCGCGCTTTTATAACACCTTCTTGCTGTCGGTGCTATCGCTGCCGTTGTATTGTGCTGGTTGAAGTTGATTTGGCCCACATCGCGGTGTGGTGTAGCAGTGAGGTTAGTGGTGTCGATTTCGGACATCTTAATAAGGCATCGTCCATTTCGCGGTGGCGGGTATTGCGGTCTTATCGAGGATGTAGTTGCGGAATGGCGAGAAGTAAGATGACGCGAGGCCAAGGGGGCGAAGGGTGTGGCGGTGTTGATGGCGCAGAGAAGTGTGATCGAACTCGTTGAACTTGTATCGATCCGCGCGCGGATTTGCGATCTTCGAAAGGGCAGCTGAGCTCAGCGGCGATGTAAAATGGCTGTATGGTTGTGGGTTGATCGGCCCAGGAGGTTGAAAAGGGCATGCGAACTGAAGCTTTGTAGAAGCAAGCCGAATACGTGATGTAGTTTAAATTTGGCAAGAGCGCAGTGGACCTTATCAAGAGATAAATTTGCTCCAATCTAGGAGATCATGAGAATAAATGCAAAGACAGAGTTCAGTCAGTGGGTAGCCAATATGAATGCTGAAAACGCAGAGGTGGTTGCCGAATACAAGAATGCGGGCAAACTGTATTCTCTATAATAAGAAACCGTTATTCTTTCTATTGCTAACCGAGAACTTTTATTGCCGTTGTCCCTAACCGGGAAATGCTGTCGTCCTTCTCGGTAACTGGAACTATTATTACCCCTTTCCCTATCCGAGAGCTGTTACTAACCAAGAGATGTTATTAACCGAAAGCTGTTATTACCCCTTTCCTTAACCGAGCACTATTGCTGTCCCTGGCGCTAACCGGGAATTGCTGTTGTCCTTCTCGGTACCCGCTATTTTCACCCCTTTTCCTAACCGAGATTATCCCTTTCCTTAACCGAGCATTGTTGTTGTCCGTCTCGGTAACCGGTGACCGAAATCTACGTCAGAGGACAAGGCTCAAAACGCATAGCAGATGTGCGAGTTATAGACAATATACGAGATATTCCTGTCAATAAAATTACCACCTGAAATACGTCTTTGACTCTTTCACGCTTCAGATTGGGCTGAAAGAAGACCGCTTTAATTGACTCGCCTATCATACATTTTCCTGCCCAGAAAACCACCTTATATCTGGGAGAGGGACTCGTCGCCGAATGCAGCATCAGTAATGCAAATCCGAACCCTGCCCCGATAATCTCAAAGTCTCGCTCATAGCTATCATGCCTGCCTCGATGTCGGAAACGCTCTCCTCAAAATCAACTGCCCAATTAACACCTTTATCAGAATTATCTTCTCCCATACCGTCCTGGTCAAAATCATCTTTATCGCTGTGCTCTGCCTCCGTTTTCTTGCTCAACTCCTGGACCCTCGTCTTCTTCAACTTTGACCTCGACTTTGACTCCAACTGTTCCGTCATTGCCTCCGCCATGAGCAATCTCAGTGGCAGCACGGATTTGCTGAGCGTGGTACAATTGCACCTCTCTATCCCACGCAGCGTAATTCTTCTGAGCCATTTCCAGCTTGAGCTTCAAAGACCGCGGACCCATGCACTTGTATTCAATAGAAGAAGGTATAGCCCAGGTTTCTCTGGCGGCGAAGCGGATGTTATGCAGCTGGGGCGGACTAATCAAGAAGAGGCCAGGATGGAGGACACGAGGAAGCGGCTCTCCAAAGAAGGGGCCGCTCTCGACAGGAGGAAGGCCGTGTCTCTTGTACTCCATCAAACCATTGTGGACGTCGACGGGGGGCATGAAGCAGAGATCGGACGAGCCGTGGGCATCATCTGGCTGGTCCTCGAAGTGGGTGATGATGACGGTGAGTTCCTTGACGTTGCAGAAATGCCTCAAGATATCAGCACAGCGTGCGTTGATGCCACCGTCCTGCCTACCGTAGTAGAGCTCATGCCCACGAGAGAATGCGACAGCTAATCGTCGAATTCGATGCTTACTCTGTATGTCGGTAATAGGGAACTCCTGGCTCAGCGGTGTGATAGCAGTGTAGTGGGCGAAGACCGGAAGAGTATCGAAGCGGAGATAGAGAGTATCGGAGTCAAGGTTAAAATAGGTACTGGCCTCAGCACCATCAGTTGCGAAGATCTTTGAGCGATTCTTCATGAATAAATCGGACTGCTTCTTATCGAGAAGAGGGATGGCCGAGTTTGATTTGATGGCGAGCATATGTGCATACTTGTATGCTTCTTTGCCAGGGTATGTGCCATCGTCGGAAAGCTTTCCCTTGGGATCTTTCATCATATTCTTGTGCCCTGACTCGATCGCGACCTTGGTGCGCAAATTTTGTCGTCTGACTTCCATAGCTCTATTGAGATTTTCGATTTCATTCTCGCTCTTTCTCTCGATTGCTGCCTCGTCCTTAGTCAATGGTGGCCAGCTTTGTCCGCTCTCCTCCTCCCATTCCCCAATAGTCTTCTCCAACGGCTCCTCTCTAATGTGGATGATTCTGGGTCCAGGTAATTTGAATGTCCTCTGTGTAACAAAGCAGTCAGTAGAGCTTTTGGAGGGAATCGTTTTCATAAAGACTCTTTTTCGCTTACAACCATTAACCGAAGGTTGTCGGAATCCTTGGCTCCCTCCTCTTCCTCCTCCTCCTTTTTGAATATTTGTAGATCTGATGGGCCGGGGCCTGACGATTCTTCCTTCACCATGGCTGATTCGTCGGACCGAAATGAGCTTTTCGTAGCGGGGCCGTCCATAGCTGCAGACGAAGTCGAGAGAGAAACTTATGAATTTTCGAATTGGGGCGAAATCACTTAATAGTAGCTCGATTGTCACTGCTGTATCGATGCCAACGATGGCAGTACTCTGGCTGACTAGAGGCTTGTTGAAAAAGTTCGAAGATTGAGGTTGTCGAGTTCGAATCTGTCAACAATGCTTTACTCGACGTATCGAGTTATTCAGTTTGATATCAGGTCAGCTGATCGGGCTGCTCGGGCCGTAATTTCTATTAAATAGGGTACGCACTAGTGGTTCACTACGAGAAAAAAAATAGTCACTTGGGTACAGTATCATAGTTATTATTTATTTACGCCTTCCTATTTGAAGGTTTAGAATATAATTTGATAGATATTCACACTGTTGCACATATTACAAGCAGTTGCAAAAAGTATAGTGTCACACCTAGGCTTGGGCAGGTTCTTCATTTTACCACCTCCATTGTACAAGATGAGGAAGGCACTTCATCCTTGGTGCTTCATCTTTTCTTACTCTAATATTTCATTCTAAATTTCGGGCATGCCAAGCCCATAATGCATTGTTCGTCCGCATTTTATACTCAAATTTCAATGATATTATCTTATCTTTGATGTAAAAAGCAACATTTGATAATGACAAACCACTGATCCATTTCCAGCGTGACTACCTGCTATTTGCTGCTATAGCAAACATCATGTTTTTAATAGTGCATATTGTTCGCGGCTTCTTTAACTCTCTCCTCGAAACCTTCTTTACAATGGCCAGCCATATTAAGAAAGTGCTTGCCTCCTTTCTTTATTGATATTGGGACGAAAAAATAACACCTTAATATATTAATATATACTTATAATAGGCGGATAAGCATTAATATCCTTCGAAGTAGTGAAACGATAAGGCAACTGCTTTTGTGCATGCCTGATTCGATCTGAAATTTGCTAAGCATATTCTACTTCGGTCGCCGTTACTTGCCTCTCAGAGACCAGTTAGCTTGCCTCTTAGAAACCAGTTAGGAGTCAATATTAACCACGATCAATTGGCATTAAGTACCGAGTTTACATCATGGAGCAGATTGCAGTTGACTTCTATTCCCTTTAAAGTGCTAGCGGTATTGTTACCGTAAAAAGCCACCGTATAGGAAGTGGAAAGATATGAAGTAGCATACAGCCTTGCCGCTGGTAGTAACCTCCAAATCCTTGTTTTATTGCTGTCACTTGCTATTGATAGTCCACATATACCTTGCCCCTCTCAATAAATCAATCACACTTCTGTAGGGGGAGGGGAGGGAGGGGGGAGAACAAGTAGTTGTGAGGAGGTTGTATTCTTTTAAGCAACTCTCCTCGGGTCGGGAGAAATCTATATTCCCCTAAGGGAGGACATCCGCCCTAGCCCTCCCTTGTGGCCTGAGGCCATCACAATCACTACTTTTGATACACCGCCCAAAAGCAAGCTTGCAGGTAAAGGTGCTTCTCTTCGAGAGCATGAGTTATGGTGATATATATAGACTAGCATCTAAATCGACAAACAGAATTCACTGCCCGAATGACAAGGATCAATACTGAGGCTATTCAAATAAAAGTTGGAAAATATAGAACCTGAGTATAAGCTTCACGGTATACTTTTTAGATTGAATTAATGCACGGATCTGATTAAAAGACCCGAATTTGGACCACTTTGCATCATCTCAATCATGCTTCAATGCACTTATTCTAAAAGTGGTTGAATTTATTCTGTCGATTAGTATGAGAGGTAGGTCGTGATTTTTTTAGAATCCAATCTATTAGAAAAAGGGGAATCGAACGAAGACAGGACTCGATTAAGTCGATTATCCGTACGGTCAGCTTGTTCGGCAGCTACGGCTACGTCGGGCAGTAGGAACTGATTTAATGAGTTTTCGTAGTATTAAATGTTGCTTCACCGGTAATAATAAACGTTAAACTAAATGAAGCATCTTGCTACGGCTGGAATGAGATAGTATCGTAGTACTATCTAATCGTACGCTTGGTATCGAGAAAGAAAGACGAGGAAGGAAAGAACTACAATACAGGAGGGCCGAGAGGTCTTGTGCCATGGGGCGGCCGCTAGCTTGCGGCCGCTAGCCTCAGCTGACTAACCCAACCTCGGCTGACTAATCCTACAGCCAAAATCTGTCCCTGGGACGTGAGGTCCGTCAGCACCGTAACACTTCTTTTGTATATCTCAACAGGTAACAAATTACATCTCTCTTAATATTGAGTACTGGCCATAATTCATGGTTACTGCGTAGCTAAAAGTGATTCTAGCTCCATAAAGGATTGAGCAGATTGTTCATACCGAGCGTAGGGGACGTGTAACGGGGAAGTGAGTGCTCTTAACCACATGTAAAGCAGGCTTAAACATATGACCGAGAGCTAAGCGAGGGGCCCAAACCCGTGTCAGCATCATTACCAAAACAAGTAATGCTATGACTATCAGATCAATGAGTAAGGAACCGACATTAAATCTGATTGTTTAATGTAACGGAATTGCCCATTATACAACTAATTAGTAATTTTGAAGAAATCAAACAAGTAACCCCGAGTTACTAGATATAAAGGACATATTTTTTGAATTGTTTTCGAAGCTCGGTACGTAGTAGTATGTTTTCTGCTATTGCTAAGAGATCCAAATCAAGGCTGTATAAATGAGAGATAGGGCATATATATGCGTAAAGAAGTAACATTTTTCTAAGCCTGCCGCAGATGCGAAATACAAACTGTCGGTATCACAGGTACCGAATGAGGAGTACGAATATATGGTGGTTCCAATTGTATCCGTGAAGTCTGAAGAGGCTCAGCCATACTAGCTGATGGAGAGCTATATGCTGATGCTTAGGCCGCCATACTTAGTGTAGCTACTACGTCCCAGGCGTAAGTATTACCCCCTGAAGGTAGGGTAACCAGGGGGTTTATAGCGGAAACTAAACTTTTGAGGCACCCTAAGGGGTAATAATTACGCCTGTACCGTGGTACGTGACTTGGTGCTTACATTCCCATACTGGCAATTCTTTACTTTTCTTGGTTTTACTCAGTCGCAAAATCCATGCTTAAGCAAAGCTTGAAAACACTACTTTTATGTATCAATACAGTACTAATCTTATGCTTTGCTTTTCGTCGGCTATTTCATTATTCTCTATCATCGTACCCATCGTCGTAGCCGTAATCGTCGTCGTAATGGTTATCGGCGTTATCGTAATCCTTCTTATTGTAATCCTCGTTCGGCTGATCTTCGGAATTGCCTCCAAACTCCTCTCGTACTTCGTACTTCGTACTACGTACTTCGTACTATAGGTAAATAATGTAAAACTCTAGTCTGTGCACACTAGATACTTGGCAATGCTGCTTGAATTGTTATCGTTATATTATTAGTGGTACCCTTTGCATAAGAGCCCTGTCAACGAAAACTTATAGAATTGCGCTTAAACAGTGTTTGTACATTATTTCGGGCTTGTACCAAGTAGTTATACTACGTACTAACTCTTCGATTTATTCGGCGAATCCGTCTTCTTGTGTTTGGTTGTAGTCGTACTCTCCTCCCCCATGAATAGAAGTAACTAAAAAAACAAAGGACGGTGGATAGGCTTGCAAAAATCTTTGTTGTAGAGGTTTGATGACTTGAGGTGGTAGGACTGACGAGGCTCACACCTAATATTAGAGGGAAACGAGTCGATTCGCTTAGCTCTAATATTCACTTATAAACCCATCCATACTGAAGACAGGATGAAGACAACACCCAATCGAATGAAAATGCCTTCAAAAATCAAGCTCAAGCGAGAGCAAGATAAATAAGGAACTAAACATCTCTAAGCACCTTCCAGAGCCGGCCGTCTTCTAACATGCAAACTAGAATAGTTTCTTAAGGGCCGTTGCTACCTTACTACCGTATTATTGCAAAGTTAGTAGAAGTCATATCACCTATCGTTTTAGCTGAACTTACGCAGTCATCGCAAGTGCAAGCACATTTAGCACATCCAGCAGGCCTACTACATAGGCATTTCTCAGAGCCAGGGGGGCAATCTTGGCGGGTGACGAGAATTCCGTTCTCGTAAGCGGTCATAAGTGATGCGGTCGATGTTGATGCAAACAAGAGAGCTAGGACTACCCAAGTCTTCATGATGGCTCTGAAATGGTTTTTGACTTAGAAGCAGAAGACAAATGCTCGTATTTTGAGATGCGGATGATAAAGAGAGAGGTGTTTGGATGTTTGATATGGAATGAAGCGTGGAAGGACGACTGGTGGGTCTTATACCACAGTACAGTGAGGGGTAGTTTGGTCAAGGTCAGGTCCACGCCAGATCCAGGCCGGGTAATGTTACCATCCCCCCCCATGGATAAATGTCGAAAGTATAATTTCGCAAGGAATCTTACCAGGGCTTAAACCAATCAACTCATAAGGATTCAGCTTTGAAAAGTATCTTTAAGCCAGTATTTAGCCTATACAGTGGAGTTGGCAAGGCTTTGAGCCATTAAGAAACCACCGCTCTATGATATATGGGCCTAAACTGGGTCCGACATTTATTCATAGGGGGGGATAGTAATGCCTAGTTTTGGCTAAGAGATTTCCGGTAGAAACCGCGTTTGGTCTGGCCCTACAAAAGTATTACAAATACCTAGGTATTCCAAACCTTATAGAAAACTAGAAGTTTTGTAAAAACCACTTCGGACATACTACGTCGCAGGCGTAAGTATTACCCTTCGAGGGTAGAGAAAACAGGGGGTTTAAAGTGGAAACTAAACTTTTAAAGCACCCTCGAGGGGTAATACTTAGGCTTGTACCGTGGTACGTAGTAGATACACGGTACTTATTCGAAGTATTCACGCTAATTGATAGCGATAACCTTAACAACCACTCTTATCGCAAAGCCGAATCTTAATTGAACCGTGATTCTTTTTTACTTTAGTGATTCTTTTTTACTTTATAGGTTCGTAATTTTCTCTTTAACATATCGTTGCAAGTACTACGTCGCAGGCGTAAGTATTACCCCTCGAGGGTAGGATAACCAGGGGTTTTAAAGTGGAAACTAG